CATCATCATCATCATCATCCACTCTGTTGCCTGCAGAGCCAGTTTGGATCCAGATTCGTCCTCCAAAAGTGGATGAATCTTCCACAGAGACTCTGGGGGAGCTGCACAGATCCACAGCTCAGGGGCAGCAGTCTGTGCCAGGGTTCCTACATGTCCTTGATATCCTGGAAAGGTTTTGAATGGGAAAAAATAACTTCAGGTCCTTGAAAGTCATTTAAAAAAAAAACTCCCTGAAAAGAGTTTTTCTCATTGAGGTTTTAAAATTTCTCCCAAATAAATCGAAAACAAAACAAAATCTGGGGAAACAGCTAAATTTATCCCAAAACCGTAAAGTTCAAATAGAAAACACAAACTTATAGTTCCTCATTTGATAGTATTTACAAAATTAAATACATTGCAACTAAAAAAATCCAGTATTTTGTTGTTTATAGCATAAAATAATTCACAATGTTAAATTCCTCATTCGGTCACGTGACCCACTGAGGGACGCTGTGACGTCAGTTTAGTCAGGAAGGAGTCGTTTTACATAGCGAGTCGATATTTATTCACCTTAGTGATGCAGTTTTTATCCTTTAACGAGGACGAAGCAATCTCAGTGGTTTCATTAAAGCTGCTGGTTTAATCAGCGCTGCTAAATGTTCTTTGATCTTATGCAGAGCTGCTGGAAGTTCATTACTTGTGAGTTTTAATTAGTTTAAACCAGAGTCTAACCTCTAGTTTGAAGAGGGGATGATAGGATTGGGTTCGGTTTGGTTGGCGGCCGGGCGTGAAGGCTGGCGGTCAGTCTTGGAGCCCTGTGTGCGGTGCTGTCGCACACAGGGCTCGGACCATAATAAACGGGAATCCATCTGGAGCTGCAGCTTCACGAAACAGTGCAGCTGGAGAGAGAAATATTTCATAAAAAATTAAATGCTTTTAATCAGCTTTATTGCCATCAGGCACTTTATTAAAGCTATAAAACAGAGAAAACAAGCCGTCGATTCTTTATTGAATCTAACTGATGCTGTGAGAGCAGGACTGATGATTAAAGATCTGAACATAGTTTGCTTTATCGGCTCGGACGCTACAGATTGTCCGGTTAATTTTTGTTTAATCTGTTTAAACCAAACCAGGTCCTTCAGATAATTAAACATTCCTTTTCCCGATCCTGCACCATCCCTACAACAGACCACTGTAATGAGGTTTTAATGATCCTTTCATAGAGCTTAACAATGTGTGAAGTAGTGTTTCTGTAAACCCGCCGGAGGACGATTGATGACACTGATGTCACAGCTGGGTTTGGTCATGTTTTGGTCGTGTTTTCGCATAGAGAAAATAAATAATAATCTACCATCACACCATGAAACTGCTCTAGATGCACTGCTTTCTATTTGAACTTTAATTGATTAAAACATTAATTAAACTTTGATTTCTGGATTGGATTTCTTTAAAATCTTCATTTACCAAACATGTCCTCTCCAACAATCATGGAGCAGATTTCCCCCCATAGACCTGCTGCTGTAGAGAAAGGCGGATCTAGAGAGGATTGATCGTCCAATCAGATCAACTCTGGTCAGAAAAGGACCAGAATCCTTTCAGATGTAGCTGATGAGGATCTTCCTGTGGGTTTGTCATCCAGGGACCATCCAGACCTCCGGGGACCAACCCGCCCTGCCTCAGACAGCTGCTGCTGGAGAGGAGAGCAGCTCCTCAGACCGCCAAGCTCCGCCTCCTTCGCCTAAACACCTCAACCACCTGCAGATGGTCACCCTGCGCTGCAAAGCTTCCACCAAACGGAAGGTGAGATCATCTGCAGAAAAAAAGAAACTCACTTTCCCCCTCAGGTGGCGGTAATAACCCGCGTCTGCCTGCAGGTGGAGCAGATGGAGGTGGACGACTTCTACGACGGCATCAAGCGCCTCTACAACGAAGACGTCACCGCCGCAGTCCATGAGGGGGCGGCAGGAGGGGAGGGGGTGTTTGTCGGCGGCTCCTCCCCCTGCCCTCCTCTGCAGCCGGTCAGCTCCTCGTAGAGACGGGAACCTCCTCAGCTGCTCCTCCCTGCTGAGGTGCTTTTCATCGCCAACGCGCGCGTCGGGACTTCGAGCCGTTCAGCTGGAATTGATGTCAGCTCCCATCATCCCCTGCAGCTGGAAAACAGAGCCCTCCCAAAAAAAACTAACTAAACATCCAAAATGTCAAAAAAAAAAAAAAAGCGCTCCTTTGCTTCTGATGTAATTATTCTGTTTGTTTAACACAGATAAGGAATTACAAAATCCAAAAAAAAAACTAAAAACACAAAGTTTCCTTAAAAAAAAAAGAGACTTCCTGCCTTTCATGTCCGCTGCTGGTGAAGATTTTAACTTCTATTTGTTCCTGTTGTTTCTGTTCTGCATGTTTTCTCCACATTCAGGCGTAGAAATCAGCCGATTCTCATAGATCAGCCTTTTTTTGAATGTTCCGAACGTTTGTTTTTAGCTGCAGACCTGGAAGCATGAGCAGCACCATGTCTGGATGAATGAGCCACCTGCTGGTCGCTGCTAGTTCTGCCCGTAAATGTGCCGAAGGTTTCAGGAGACCATCTGTCCTCATGTTCAAAGGTGGTTTTTAACCCTCCCCATTTTTGTTATTAAATTATTTCTCTCCATGTGAAAAAAAAAGAAAAAATTGCTCTGTTCCTGCTGAAGGAGCTGCTGCTGGCTGCTTCAGGACCCTGAACACTAAATAAAGACTTTACAACGAGACACGGTCTGCTTTGCTTTATGTCTGATAGTCCAAGGTAAATAGGAAGTTACCTCCACTAAAACACTTCCATGTTTCTAAACGGGGAGCAAGTCCCTTTAAGGGTGTCGCCATGGTGATTCAGACATACAATACCTATGGCTTTTACTCTTTTTCAAACCCTTTTAGATAATCTTGTGAAGAAACAAACTTTTTCTTTGAAAACAAATGTAGTTTTTATTTCCTATGATGTTAAAAAGCAGCTTGACGAGTCGACATTTTTATCTAGATTATGAAGCAGATCTGTAGTTTATAAAAGCCTCAGCTCAAAGTCATCCAGAGGTGATACAAATACTTCGTTACTGTACTCAAGTAGATTTTTCTGATATTTTTACTTTACTACTTATTTTTATGGCGACTTTTTACTTCTACTCCTTACATTTTAAAAAAATTGTCTTGTTACTTTAGTTTTGAATCATTTCAATGGAGTTACCGTTATTATTTTTCACGTCATCAATACCAAATTCAATCTAATTGGATGGGAATCTACGTTGCATTTGACGCACCACTACAAGATGAATCGACAGATTCGGCGGTATTCATTGGCGGCAAATCATTGCAGCTTGGTGGCGGTGGCGTTAGCATAGTAGCATGGACGACGAGATGATTGAAAATGAACACAACGGAGATCTAGTCCTATTGGCAGACATCCATTTAAAATGTAGGCAACGGCATGAAAAAAGTGGTTTCTACTTTTACTTTTATACTTTAAGTAAATTACAAGCCTGTACTTTGTTACTTTTACTTCAGTAAAGAAGTTTAATCAGTACTTCCACTTTTACCAGAGTATTTTTTAACACAAGTATCTGTACTTTTACTCAAGTACAGAAAGTGAGTACTTTTGCCATCTCTGCAAATATACAAGAAATATACAAGACTGACATTTACAGACTGACATAAAGTGCGGGACATGGCAGGTAACAGTGATAAGATAAATATAAAGTATAGACATTACAATAAAAGCAATAAAACAGCAGCAGATCTGAGGGATCCAGAGATCAGACCAATAAACAGGAGCCTGGCCCTTCAGGGCCGCGTTGGTCAACAATAAAACCTCTAAATGATCCTAGAAGGAACGGGAAGCCGATGAAAGCCGGCGATCAGAAGAGATGTGGTCAGGATTGTTTGTTCGCTCTGCAGCGCTCTGAAACGGCCGACACCAACAGAAAAACTACAATCAAGATCATTAAACGATAAAAAAAGCCTCAGTTTGAAAGAAACTGTCTTTTTATGACAGAAATTATGCTGAATGTGCTTTACTGGAGGCATCCATGTTTGTCAAAGAACACTACTGCCACCTACTGGTTGGTGACGTCGCGGTGCGGTATCGGCTGTTGATCAAGTCCCAGTGCTGTATCTGGTGTTTGTCACAACGCGCTATTATCCAAGTCATCTTGAAAACATTCTTCTTCCAAATGTTGGCTACATATTACGGGTTTTTTCTCTGGCCAGAAGTTCGATGGCAAATCCTCCCTCTTCAAGTTGGCGATCCAACGACCAACCCGTCCGTGGAGGATCAGGAATCAGAAAGGTGAGATAACTGGCCAAAAAGATTTTATTACTAACGCATGATGCTCAACACTTTTACAAGTCCAGTTGTAAGTGATGTTAATGCTAATGAGGAGGGTGATATCCGTGATTAAAATGTAAGGTTATTAACGTTTCCATGGAGACCACTTTAGCCCCACTTTGACTGATGGCGAGATTGAAATGGGACCCCCTAATTATATATTGTATATAATTATATATATCGTATGATACAGATTAATGTAACAAAGTAATCCCTCCCTGGGATTATTAAAGTATTTCTGATTCCTGGTTGATGGGACAGGTGTTGTGAATGAAACGGTGTCCAGCTTCATCCCCCTAGGGGTCGCGGACCCCCTGTTTAAGACCTACGATCTAGTGTAACCCCGCCCCCGTTCTTCGTGATACGTTCAATAGATTATATAAAATCCGACTCTCTCTTGCAGAATTACCATAAAATAAAATTTTCTATAGTTTTTTGTGTAGAAAACGTAAGAACATTATCATTAAATCCCGTGATCTAACTGGTGCAAACATAATTCCTAAGTTGCTTCTCTTCTAAACATTCTAGGTTCTTAAGATTGTGTCATTAATCGAGCCCCAAATGCGTCTGTTCTTGCCCTCACAAATAGCCAATCAGCTACAACGCTCTAGCGATTACGTGTACAGCGTGACCAATCAGGTGTCTCCGTAGGAAAATCCCGCCCACCGCCTCCTCCTCTGAACCTCCCGGTAGCAAAGCTGATGCAAAGTTGCGTGTTGGGAGCAGGAGACGTCACCGGTGCTCGATTCTAGCAGAACCTTAATATCTGAACGCAGAAACGCAACTTTTGGTTTTTCCAGGGAGCCGTTTTTAGACGCGGGCCAACATGGCGACGGAGATAACTAAAGGAGTGGAGCAATTCTCAGTCGGTAAGTAGAAATGATGCTGTCGCTAGCTAGCTGGTTAGCAGGACATGTGTGCTTCTGTCTGGATCACTATTGTGGTGATAAAAGTGGTTTTTATCTAAAGCTTTATAATTCATTACCGATCAGGTTTGACCCATTTTACTCTCAGTGATGTAATTAATTACAGACTGAATGTTAGCCGCAGTTACAGACCAGATGCTAACAGGATGCTAACCCAGGCTAGCTCAGGCTAACCCCTCAGGCAGCTGTCATCCTGGGATGCTGAGGTAAAAAAAGGAAACCTGAAGATCAGCTTTTTGCAGAAAACACGACTTGATTCATCCGGTTCTTCTGCTAATTACATAATATAATAAATGCTGGTTAATAAGAAGATATTTGCTGTTTTTAAAAGATAATGCTGAGGGACAGCAGTTAATGATTTTAATATGATTTACTTTAAGCTGGTTTTGCTGTTGAACTTGATAATTATGACTTAGTGGGAAAGTTGACATCGAGTTTCTGATGTTTGAAATTTTGTGAAAAATAAATTCTATAAAGTTTATTTCTATAGCTCCAATTCACATCATATCATCTCAGGGAAAGGAAAACCAGCTGATTGCATTGACTCTTCAGCAATCCCTCACACTAAGCATGCTTGTAGCGACAGTGGAGAGGAAAAACTCCCTTTGAACAGGAAGAAACCTCCAGCAGAACCAGGCTCAGTGTGAGCGGCCATCTGCTGAGGCCCACTGGGGTTCAAGGAGACAGAAGCAGACATAGAAAAAGAAGCATAGATACAAAAGGCAACTGTCAACCAGCTCCACAGGCGGCCCCGTCCAGGAAACACACAGCCAGGCAGACGAGCTCCGAGCCAGCTCCCATGTCAGAGGATGAAGAGAGCACATCCAGTTAGTCACAGTCAGAGAAACAGGACTACACTGGAAAACAGGCCAAGCTCCAACATCTAGAAACAAAGGTGTTGATGGCAGCAGCACAGCTGATATTTGCTCCCTGGGCACCGCACAATGGCAGCCCACTGTTCCCCAAGGAGATGTTTTGTTTCTTTTTTTTTTATATACCTTTTATTTTTACAGGCAAGTCATAAAGAACAAGTTCTTGTTTACAATGGCGGCCTGACACTTAGGAAAAGAGAAGTAGGGCTAAAATAAATACTTTAGTAATACACACATAAAATACAGTTTAAAACACAACAGAAAATCCAAAAGTCACTGTTAGTGTCTGTGAACCTGGATGATAGAATTGTTTTGAAGAATGAAATTGAAGCGAGTTTATCCAATTTAATGACATTTAGTTAAATGCAGAGAGTTTGTTTCGATGCTTTGTGTTTGTGACAGTTTAATGACATTAAGTTAAAAAAGCTGGAAAAATCTAATCTGGAAATCATTATCTCAATTTTTAAAATATTAATTCTGGAGATTTCTGTAAGCTTTGAGCCAATAATGTCTAAATATACAGACATTGATGCTTGATGCATTTAACTTTATGTAATAAATCAATTAATGCTTAAAAGTCATTTATTTAGATCTTTAGCATTTTTATTCTCATTTTCATCCCATCATCTCTGTCTGGTTTGAATCACCTCAGTTAAACATTTCATAAAATGTCGGACGTCTGAAATGTTTCCATGTTTTCTTATGTTCTGCTGCAACGTTGCATCAGACAGCAACTTTTTCCAAGCTGCTTTGTTTCACTTTCAGTATCAGTTCCTGGAACCCAGAGGATGAGTTTCACGCTTGTTCAGACTCCTGGTCATTGGTCAGTCTGAGCATTTATCAAACCATTAGACTTAGACAGATTTATTTTATAATTTTCTCTGCACAAGTGTAGACAAAAAGAAATTTAGTTTATAAAAGCTCTCTATACAATTTCATTTTTTGAAGTGCAGCCTTGATCAGGAAAGCAGCAACGATAAAAAACATTGATATTAAGTCAGTATATCTGGTTCTGGAATGCGCATCATTCATGTTTGTTGGCATCAGTGATGTCAGATGGATCTGGATCTTAGCATCCAACTGGGATTTTTACCCTGGAGGACGATGATGATGATGATGCTGTGAGGGTGGTAGCCCCCCTGGGTAGAAGAGGCTGAGGTGGTTGAAGCAGCAGTGGCACCATCGGCAGGTTTAGCGATGCTGAGAAGATGTGGAAGCCAGAGGGGGCCGGGAGGAACCGGCTGGGGATGGTTCAGCATTTGCTCTCCTCATTTTCACCTGCAGGGGGCAGTGTTTCCCCTCTAGATGCTGAAGGTTGCCTGGGAACAGTCTCAGAGGAGCCTCCATTCAGGCAGAGCTGTGCGGTGCAGCATCAGCCCGGATTTAACCAGCAGCAATAAGTCAGACATGTTCTCCTTTTAGTTGGATCTGCTCAGTTTATTGTTGAATTGGATTGAATTAGGGATGATTTTCAAGACATGGTTTGTTTAAATAAGATTTATTCAATCTAACTGATAACGTTTGTTAAGATGGAACATCTTTGTGTAGTGATGTTACTGCTGTCCACTAGAGGGCGTATTCATTCTGAATCAGAGTCCTGGGGGTTAACATCACAGACACCCTCACCTGGACTGGAAACACCACCTCACTGGTCCAAAGGGCCCAGAAGTGCTTGGACTTCCTGCGGAGGATGAGGAGAGCCCACCTTAGTTTGCACTGCTCTGAACCTTCCACATCACTGCCTCTGTGCACCATGTCTCTCCTATAACGTTAACATTTGATCACTGCTGCACTTTATTGTTGTTTTTCACTGATAAACTGCTGCTAAAAAAGAAAAAATGTACTCCCTGAAAGCGCTATAAACGAAGTGTTTACAAAATGGCGAGGTTTGTCTAAGTCTTTCAGAGCCTCTGTGGAATTTGCAGTAAAAGGATCCATGCCAGAACAGAACCATGAAAGGTTCCAGAGTCCGGTTCAGATCATTTCCTGTGTTTAATGGATCCCAGGATCCAGGATGGACTTCCTGTTAGTGAATCTAAACTCCTTCAGTTCTCCTAAACGGCTCCATTTAGCGGCGCTGATGGAGGAGCAGCGGAAGGAGGCGATAGAACAGTGGAACCGATGGAACAGGATAGAAGAAGATATGCTAGCTGTTAGCATGCTAGCTGGAGAAGCTTTATGATGTCATGACTGTGGGGGGGGGTTGGATGCCTGATATAATATGGGGGCAGTGTTGGTCTAGTAGTTCGATCCACACAGCCTGCCACTCTGGCTCCCTGAGTAAGACCCATAACTCCCTACTGCTCCCCGGGCGCCGCACCATGGCAGCTCACTGCTCCAAAAGGGGAGGGGTTAAATGCAGAGAGGGAATTTTGTTGCTTTGTACTCGAGACAGCGGAATGACAATTAAGCTGAATTCTGTTCTATTCTACCAATGTTTCAGTTCCTGATATTAATAAATAAAAAACAACAAAGGAAAATGGGCTTCCTATGCCCCGCCGCTATGGTAGATGGCGCCGTTCAGCCCTTTAGCTGTGCGGCGCAGCGCCACATCTGAAGCTGGACGTGGACTGAACTCAAACCCCAAACAAGATGGCTGCCAAAATACCTCAATGATCAATAACATAAACAGCACCTGCTTTTAACGATGCATTCAGTATGATAGCTGCCAAAAACATCACAATATATAGTTATATTGCAATATTGTGATAATATAGTATTGTGACGTGTACCCCCCCCCCCCCCCCCCCCCCCCCCCCCCCTAATGACCTTCATGGAGCCCCGTTCCTCAGAGAGAAACCAGAACCGCCTGTTTAAAAACTCTGACAGCAGAACAAAGCGTTCCCCTGCTCTGATTGCTGGATTAGAGGAAAACCGTTTGAATCTAAACTTTTTCTCCATTTTCCGTTAAACTGGATTCAGCTGAAGTCCAGCAGCAGCTTCTCTGAGCAGCAAACTGTTGAATGTTTGATTGTTCCTGGAGGAACCTTACATCAGACGGACAGAAAGATCAGGAGCGTTTTAGCGTCACGCAGACCTTTCAGTGGAAATGCATTCATTTCTATCTTCATCCTTTACCTGACACCCCCATTCCAAAGGGGGGGACCCGTTCCTCCGTTTCTATTTGCATGTTTTCTAAACTAAAAGAAGGCTTTGTTGGGCTGCTGGATAAAACCTGGAACTAAACGCTATTTCTGACATTTTGAATTGAAAAATCTTCCTGGATGGAAGAGAAACGTCTTCAAACTTGGAAACAAAGTCCAGTGGATTGATTTTAACTTTTTTTTTTTGTAATAATTATGACCTGGATGACTGAGAATCTTCACCAGCATCTTCTCCTGACTCTGTTTTTATTTTGTCGTTTCTCAGGTGAGCTTTACGTCTCTGACAAATGTGGCAGCGACCAGGATGGAGACGGGTCGGAGAAGAAACCCTTCAAAACTCCCCTTAAGGCAGGTTTTCCTGTACAAAGACGATAAAAACATGTTTGATAAACTATCCTGGAACAAAACAATGAATTTCAAACACCTGCACTGATTTATGCTCCTTTATTTCTGGGAAAAGGCTTTTTATACAGAAGTGCTGGGAATCTTTAGTTTGGTTGGTTTCTAACGTTGTGATTCTGCTCCAAACCCGTCAGGCTCTGCTGTTTGCTGGGAAGGAGCCGTTTCCCACCATCTACGTGGAATCCCAGAAGGAGGGGGAGGTGAGTCTAACGTCTCCTGTTGGTCTGGATCTGGAAATGGGGAAAAGGTCCCTGAAGACGCTGCTCAGCTCTGTTCTGTAGGATTGATCTCAGAGGGCTGCGGTGATTTTAGGCTCATGTGTCCAGATGTTCTGGATCAGCAGATCGGATTTTAATCTGAAAGCTCTCGGCGATTCCAGTTCATCACAGCACACATTTGACCGTTTCCAGGGCCCACAGCATCACGTTCCTCCACCATACTCAGCTGTGGGCCTCGTATCAGAACTCCATTATGGAAGAACATCATTTACTGGAAATAATTAAACAAATAAGAGATAAATTATAAAGGTGAAAAATTGGTTTGATGAAAATAAATTTATTTTAAATTGGAGCAAAACTAAATTAAATGATTATTATTATCTAAAAGAAGAGTTCAGTAAAACTGCATTGATGGAGTCCTGATGGAAAGAAGAAGTGGAAGAAGTTCAGTTTCTAAGCTAAGATTCTGGATGATAAATAAATTAGAAATAGACGATCTAAGAAGGAAAGTTAGCAAAGCGTTGTTTTATTTATTTATATGAAAAGATTTCATTGTTTAACTTCGGTTTCTACGATGAGAGCGACCGAGCGGAGAGGAGCGACAAGTCGCAGTTATCATTAGAAAAACGCCTTTTTGTTTTAATACAAACCCTGAGCTGATTAGAGGAAAAACTCTGAAAAACTGCACAGAGGAGACGTAACTGACCTAAAGCTGCTGTTTCATAATTTTTTTTTCATTTTTGGCGTGCGGCAAACAGCAGCTAGGTTAGTACCGCGATCAAAGACATCTTTTCATCCCGGCCGGCGCATCGCTGCCCCCCTCAGGACAGGTGCAGTCCAGTCAGCTGGTTCTGCTGGGCTGAGCCCGGCTGCCATCTTTGTGAGGGAAAAACTCTCAGGGATCACAGTAAAAACTGAAACTAATGATCAAACTGAGTTGATCAGAAGGACTAAAGAGAAGAAACTGATCTAAACCAGCGATAAACTTCCTACAGATTAAGATGTTTTAAAGGACGAACTCTTGTTTCTAAAGCTATTTATATTCAACATTTTAAGTTAATTAATACAAGTGGAAAACAAATTATGATCATTTTTACATTTTGAGAATATTTCTGGTGGAAATTAAATATTTTTGTCTAGAAATCTATGTAAATTTTTTGTCAAAGTAAAAAAACATGATATTCCTCTTCGTTTCGCTGCTGTTTGTTCATTTCCAACCTCTGTGAGTAAATCTATAACTGTAAAAACCAGAAAATGAAGCTTTTCTTCTTACGTCCATCCTGACCCACCGCAGAGTTTGAGGAACAGCTGATAACTTTCATAACAGCCACTTAAAGTGTTTAAACATTTCTAGATAAATAAAACTAAATGCTTACTGCTATAATTCTGTTTTTTTTTTTTGCTGAAATTCAGTTTCTGCTGCAAAAAATGTAACTTAGAAAATATATAATTACAGTTCAGCCTGCCATAGCCCACTCCATATTAACCTACACATTAACTGCAGCATCAATCTTCTCTTCCTGTTGTCATGGTGATGATGGCTTGTTACGCACGTTTAACTCTGACTGAACCTACTTGGAGTTGACTGAACTAATTCAAAGCAGCTGTTGTTAAACCCAAAACCCCAGAGCTTCCGACTTTAGGCTGGATCAATTCAGAGTTTAGGATTAGAATCTGAGTTTGATGAACCTGCTTCATGTCCCTGGATCCTCTGCTGCTCCAGCTGCTTCCTGCGTTGGCCGTAGAAACGGAGCAGCTAGAGACAGGCTATTCACTGGGAGCTCCAGCTTTATTCATGCTTGTCTCTGGTCTTTAGCGCTGGGCGGTTATCTCAAAGACGCAGATGAAGAACGCTAAGAAAGCCTTCAACCGCGAGCAGATGAAGAACGACGCCAAGGAGAAAAAGGAGGTTTGTGGATCAGTTTTTCCTGGGATTCTCTGAAAGGCTGAACTGTGACCTGATGTCTGTTTAAACAGGCTGAGGACAACGAGAGGAGGGAGAAGAACCTGGAGGAGGCCAGGAAGATCGTGATAGAGAACGATCCCAGCCTCCCGGAGGCGGAGCCGGTCAGTGGTTCATAATCAGCGTGAGGTTTATGCTTCTCAAACACCTTAGCTCATCAAACAGGAAGCTGAAGTATGTCTTTGAAAGATCATATTGCTGCTTTTCTTTTTTAAAGAAGATGAAATATTGGCTTCAGGTCTACATTTGTGCTAATTTGTTTCCCTTGGAAGTGAAGCCTCCATGTTGCTGCCGCATCAAACTACGTCTGAAGGCTGAACAGTCTGAACCTGTCTGCACCCAAACACGGATTATTTTAGCTAAAAAACAAAAGTTTTTGCCGTGATGAGATTAGCTGCTAAAAGAGCCACTGCTTCTCCACTTTGAGATGGAATCATCATCATCATCACTCCCTAATCAGAGAGAGTGGGTGTTTATTTACAGTGCAGACACGGTGTGGTTAACATAGCTGCTTCCTAGAGGGAGCTGATCTACGTAGATTTTCTCCAGGTGCTCGTTTTCACAGGGTGAAAATACGATATTTTCAATCGTCACACGCAGCTACGGCTCAAACTGTACCACGAAACTCGGCACGATACAAAAAATACTGGCACGACTGGACAATCGGCTGGAAAAGGGCAGAACAGTGTATGCCCGCTGTAGGTACCAGATCTGCTCGGGGCCCCGCCCCTTCTTATGACGTCATCATATGGCAACTCCACTCTGACAAACTGTATCGCTCCTGTTTCTTAAGGATCAAATCTCTGTAGGAGTGTCAACATATTATTCCCTATATTTACGATTATTTTACGTTTCATTGATGATCTAAAATAGTCTGTTTATTTTTATTCTTTCTATTAAGATCTGAGGTCAGAGGAGGACAATTGGAACATCCTAAAGTTGACTTTCGTAGAGATTTTAGAGAAATAAAACAGTTACTCTACTTTTAAAAAACGAACGGTTGTCGATGCTACAAATTTAAAAGTAGTGTAGCTTAATATGGCTAACTGACCGAGCTAAAAGAGGCTAACATGTTAGCTACAGCTAGCCACAGTTAAATCGATCAGGTAAAACCTCATTGGTCATTAGACACGCTAACGCTACAGATGCTATCGACTCTGCACGCCCTGCGTGATGTTATCGTTGTCTGGGCAACCACAATGTTTTACATCATGTGGAAACGTTGAGCCAATCATAGCGTAACGTCGCTGGCAGGAAGCAGGGATGGAGCAGATCTGGTAGCTACAGCGGCTTCCGACGGCAGAACTCATGAGGATTAATCAGAGACACTAATCGTCTAAATGCCTCTTAGTTCCTGGTCTAGATGATGGATGACTTTAGAACACAGGAAAGAGGTTAAAAAGGGAGGAAAAATAGGCCTTTAAGGTCATAAGGATGTTTAAAAGTCAATGCCTCAGCCTTAATGATACATTTTTAAAAGATATCAGTAAATGATTGATTTTACTGAAAAACACATTGTGGTTAATTGTTTTGTTTGTTTCAATGGGTCAAACATCTGTTATGATGCCAACATTGACATTAGGGGGTCAGCAGGTCGGAGCTCAGGTCTCACCAGAAGCTTTAAGGATCAAACCTTGATGCTGCAACAGAAATGTTTCCTTTTCTCAGGTGAAAATCCATAAACTGGAGGCCAAACGAGGTCAGAGGGTGAAAGTGTTTGGATGGGTGCACCGCCTCAGGAGGCAGGGTGAGCAGCGCCGCAGACAGAAACCAACATGGCGGCTTAGCTGAGCCGGGACTGACTGAACCTTCCTGTTCCCTGCAGGAAAGAACCTGATGTTCATGGTGCTGCGAGACGGAACCGGTTTCCTCCAGTGCGTCCTGTCTGATCAGCTGGTACGGCTGCTCTCACCTCCCTGCATGTCCCCATCAAAGCTGCTTACCTTTTTGAGGACGTTTGGACGTTCTTTTAGTTCTCTGGCTGCTTTTTCAATCAGTTTCAGTTTAAACGCTTCAGAAAACCTTTTGACTTTAAGTGTATTTTTCTGTTGTTCAGTGCCAGTGCTACAATGGGCTGGTGCTGTCCACAGAGAGCACCGTAGCTCTTTACGGGACCATCACTCCGGTTCCGGAGGGGAAACAGGTAAACGCATCAAACGCACCTCCTGCACTCAGACAAACCTTCAGTTGGTTCTATTTATGGTAAAATAACTGGATAAAAACAGGTGGGCGTGTTTAACATACATTAAAAATGCTAACAGAGTTTTTTCTCCAGGCCCCTGGTGGCCATGAGCTGCACTGCGACTTCTGGGAACTGATCGGCTTGGCTCCGGCGGGCGGCGCCGACAACCTGCTGAACGAAGAGTCGGACGTGGACGTCCAGCTGAACAACCGGCACATGCTGATCCGCGGAGAGAACGTCTCCAAGATCCTGCGAGTGAGGTCCACCGTTACCCAGTGCTTCAGGGACCACTTCTTCAGCCGCGGGTATTACGAGGTGACGCACGGCGCCGCTAACCCACGCTCCAGTATACTGCGGAGGAGGGGGGCCCAAACATTTCACCCTGGGACCCCGAAAATCACTCAATTCACTATATGTATTCATACGCACTGAATTATGTTCATGTTTAAATACATTTATATCTAAATGAATGTAGATATTTAATTACTTTAATGATTTTCATTTATTTCATTGGATATTTAACTATTTGTGTTATAATTCTAATGTTTTATTTAAGATTTAAACCAGATTTTAGATCTACTTTCATCTGTATTCCATGATGTATAGCGGCCCTCCGTATATCTCAGGGATCAGATCACCATTGTCAAAAAATATCTTTTATATTTAGAATTTTTCACCATTTTTTCACTGGATAATTAAACGTTCAAATGAACCCAGCAGCTAAAGTTTGATAAAATAGAAGTGATGATTATTAGAGGGAAGCTTTTTAGCCTGTAGGGCGATTCTGATGGAGACACTGGCTGTTTCTCACTATGTGTACTTGTGCGTCCTCGTGTCCTCGTGAAACGTCATCATCCTCAGTCCTAGCGCTGTTCCAGTTTACTAGAACAGCAGACTGAGGACGGACAAAGTCCCCGGATGTTGTTCTGGCCGCCCCCTCTTTACCCAGTATGCATCAGAGCAGACCTGTCCGTTCTCCAGACTGACAGCTGTCCCAGCATGCACTGCGGCAGCAGCAGCTTCCAGGTTAGCGCTCACAGAGCTCAGAGGATTAAGTTAAAAGTTCTAACATCGGCCCGCTTGCAGCTTCCTGGGCTAACGTCGGCTCAGAGCTAACGTCGGCCCCCTTGCGGGTGCCTGGGCTAACGTCGGCACCCTTGCGGGTGCCTGTGCTAACGTCGGCCCAGAGCTAACGTCGGCCCCCTTGCGGGTGCCTGTGCTAACGTCGGCTCAGAGCTAACGTCGGCCCCCTTGCGGGTGCCTGGGCTAACGTCGGCACCCTTGCGGGTGCCTGTGCTAACGTCGGCTCAGAGCTAACGTCGGCCCCCTTGCGGGTGCCTGTGCTAACGTCGGCCCAGAGCTAACGTCGGCCCCCTTGCGGGTGCCTGTGCTAACGTCGGCTCAGAGCTAACGTCGGCCCCCTTGCGGGTGCCTGAGCTAACGTCGGCACCCTTGCAGGTGCCTGTGCTAACGTCGGCCCCCTTGCGGGTGCCTGGCTTAACGTCGGCCCGCCTGCGACAGCCAGGGCTAACTGAGTGAAATATACAGCCTGTTGTTGGTGTTAGCATATCATCTTTGCCTGTTAGCTAGACGGCTAATAAGCATTTTGTGCACAAAGTAAATGAAATTCAGTTATCATTTCAGTTAAGCTCATTAGCTTATAAACTATACTGTCAATTAAATCAACTAAACCCATTAACTAAGTTGCTAACCTGCAGCTAACCATATCAGCTAAGTCGATGATGTAAGAGGACAAAAGGCTAAGTAGCTAATATGTTTATTAGCAGCTTCACTGAACCCATTATCAAAGCAGTTTACATGCTAAGCTCAGCTGAAGGAGCTAAAATGCAGATTAGCTGTTAGCTGGTTAGCTTATGGTAGAAGTAGCTAAATATTGCTTCATCCAAGTACTTGACAAGATAAACAGTTTACACATAAATTAGCATATTAGCTTTTTAGCTTTATTGCTCAGTTTATCCACTAAGCCTAATGATTAAGATTACAAAGCTAAGTGGTAAGCTAGCTAATGCGCTCCATGTACTGACAGAAAAAATGAAAACATCCTTAATAGTTGCTTTTACACAATGTGCCACTAACTTTAAAGGAATATTTTCAAACCTAAATTGTCTCTGACTAATTTAGTTCCCCTAACATGAAATCTGCTCGGCAGCAGTACAGAACAGCTTCTCAGACGTCGTTTGATCCTCCGTTTCCAGATCACTCCCCCCACGCTGGTGCAGACGCAGGTGGAAGGAGGCTCTACGCTCTTTAACCTCAACTACTTTGGCGAGCAGGCGTACCTGACCCAGTCCTCCCAGCTCTACCTGGAGACGTGCATCCCCGCCCTGGGCGACACCTTCTGCATCGCCCAGTCTTACCGGGCCGAGCAGTCCAGAACCCGCAGGCATCTGTCAGAGTGAGTCTGTAGAGTTGGAGTACTGACCTGGAGAAGCTAAAGCTTCACCTGAGGTCCACCACTCAGATCTCCAGAAAGCCTGAGGAGGAAAACTTTCAGGCCGCTTCACATCCAGGTGTGTCTGCTTGAGCTTTTCTGTCAACATGTCTGTGCTCAGGTACACTCACATCGAGGCAGAGTGTCCCTTCATCACGTTTGAGGACCTGCTGAGCAGACTAGAGGACCTGGTCTGTGACGTGGTGGATCGGGTTCTCCAGTCCCCCGCTGCCCAGCTGCTCTACGACATCAACCCGGTACGAGGGGGAGGGTGACCCTTCCGCCCGTCTCCACGCCTTGGTGTGGGAGTGATGGTGTCGTTTTGCTTTGCAGGACTTCAAACCTCCTAAGAGACCCTTCAAGAGGATGAACTACACGGAGGCCATCGAGTGGCTCAGAGAGCACGATGTCAGGAAGGACGACGGGACCTTCTACGAGTTTGGAGAGGTGACTCGAAACCAAACATCTGGACTGATTATTAGCTGTTTGGTCAAATTTCACCAACAAGAAGAAAAAAAAGAAAAACCAGTTTGATTCGGTTTCAGTGTTTAGTCAAAGAAGTCGGAGCAGATTTCTGCCCAACTCCACCTAAACAGAAGCACAAGAATCTGACATCGGACTCTGATGCGATTCGCCTTAATTCTGCGCTCAGCCAGAAACGATACGTTGGTGGACCTAGCAGGCCACCGTAGTGGTAAAGATGCTAATGCTACGTTCAGACTAGAGACTGACACGGGAGTGGATTTTCACTCCTGTCCCGTCCCACTCCCACAGAAAAAAATGGTGTCCCGTCCCGATCCCGGGCCAGAGTAGAAATCTAAATCCTGTCCCGTCCCACTCCTGGTGAAATTACTCCCACTCCCATCCCGCTCCCATTCAGAATGACTCCCGCTCCTGCACCACTCCCATTCGTGTTGTTTTTGAGCGCTGGTGAAAAACTCAGAGCGGAAGTTACTATTGGTTTGCTCCCGCTCCCGTCTGCTCCCGTTAATGTTTAATCCTGTACCGTCCCAATCCCGTGATCGTTACTAATACTGACTCCCATCCCACAGGAATCCCGTGACCCATGGGATTCCCGAAAAAATGTCAGTCTCAAGTTCAGACCGAACGCAGCAGGAGCAGCAAAAAAGCGCGTTTATTTCTGACGCACGGCTGAAGCATCTTTGCTGCTCTAACTGCGCGGTGGGCGGAGCTAACCCTATCCTTTCCTTGCCTGGAACAATGGCGGCTATATTAGCTGTGATCAGCGGGTAAAAAGTAGTTAGAATCTATGTTGAAGTGAGAAAGTCCTGAAAACACGGTCTGTGCAGTCAGTTCATCCAGATTATAGGATTAGGGCCACTGGAAAAAAAAAAGTTAACTGATTTTTAAATTTTATTTCAGTTTAGTCTGGGAAAAAAGTGAGAATTCTGAGAAAAAAAGTGAGAATTCTGACTTTTTTCCCATACTATACTGAAATAAAATAAAAAAAATCAGTTAACTTTTTTTTTCCACTGGCCCTAATCCTCTTCCGTAAGATTACCATCCTGCCTTCAAAGATTATTTCTCTGTGGGAGCCGCTCAGACCCCCACATACCGGCGCTGCGCTGTCACTGGGAATCCCCAGCAGCAGCTGCCTCAGGCCCGCTCGCCTCTCCAGGGTTTTCCCCTCCTGTTGGTGGAAGCTCATGAGGGGCCGCTCCTGCTGCTCAAAACGCGCTGCAGGGCATTTTGCTGCGCCTTGATGCTCGTTGTGTGTAAACCTGCTGATTCTGCTGCTCGCCGTCTGAGCTAGCATAAGATTGGGCGATATGTAAACATTTTCCAACCAACATTCTTCCGTCCAACAAATGACGATATATTCGGGCTTTAAGGGCCAAGGTGAGCGTCTTTTGATCAGGAGGAAATATGAAGTGAATTTTCTGCCGAAACGTTGCATACAAAAAAAAGCATGTTTCAGTTGGTTTGATTGGATGGCGCCTCCTGCTGTCGGTTAGTCAGAATGACAATTCTTTATTAATGATGTGACTTTTGGCAGAAACTTGCTGCGGAGTGCGTAGAATTGTCTCGTACGCGAGGAGAGGCTGTTTTCTATGCGAGCAGAGATCTTTTTGTACTCGAGGACAATTTATAACTTATATTTTTAGTGAAACTTTAGAGTCCGGTTTGTAAAACTAATTTTTGTGTGTGCAACATTTAAACAGAGTTTGAAAAACAAGTTTTATTTTTGAACAATAAGATTTATTTGAGTGCGACATGTTTATTCATGAGTGATAAGATTTGTTTGTTTGAAACATGCTTTATGTTTGTGCGCAAAATGCTTTTTTTTTCTACAAAACGTTATGGCAGAAAATTCTCTCCATAGGGAAACCCTAACCCATCCTAAAAGATTTGTTGTAGTTATCAGAGTGGCCAGCAGAGGGTGCTTTTGTCTGCTGACCCTACTGCAGTTCTTTCCTCTGAACCGAACATAGAAATGGTTTAACGGTTCCAGTTCTGAAGAGAAAAGCACCATCTCTAATGGGAGCTCAGATCCGTTTGGTTCCACATTAACGCGTTCGCTCCGGAATTTTCCCAGGACATCCCCGAAGCTCCGGAGAGGCTGATGACCGACACCATCAACGAGACCATCCTGCTCTGTCGCTTCCCCGCCGAGATCAAGTCCTTCTACATGCAGCGCTGCCCGGAGGACCGCCGCCTCACCGAGTCGGTAAGAAAACAGAAGAGTCTTTAAACCCGAGGCTGGGTTTAAGGAGTCTGCTAACCGAAGCACCGAGTATAGGAGGCATAGCTAACAGCTTCCAGGACCAGGGTCCAGTTTTACAGCCCCTTTCTTACCAGATGGGCCCGACCCACAGCCCTGAGAAAAACAGCAGTTGATTAAACACGTTCAGAACTTCTCTGTTTGTCTCGAACGTTAAAACTGAGAAAGAACCGGATCAGATGGAAAAATCTAGAAAATAAACCAGCAGGAACCCAAAGGCCCATAAACCAGATGGGAAGATCGACCCCTGATGACGGCGTTTCATTTTTCTGATTTTCCCTCCAACGGATTCGTCTTTTTGTTCTAAATTAAAAGCTGGAATTATTTTGAAAGGATTAATTTTCTCACGCATTTCATGTTTATCCAGTTTCACTGAGGAAAAGGTTCTCATAAATTATGAAAAACTTCTCAATAAAAAAAGGTTTTAAGAGTAATTAAAGCTGCAGCTTCTTATTAGCCGCATGGTTCAAAGTGTGGGAAAAAAGTAGCAGCTTATATTCCAGAAATTACTGTACTCTCCAAACCTTTATGTGAGAAAGTTCCAGTTTTAAAACTCTTCATCTTCAAAAGTCCTTATTTGTAAAATCCTATCTGCTTTTAAATGATACAGGAACACATTCCTGTAACCAAACCACTGTTTTCCTCGTTTAACCAACATTAAAATGTACAGATAACAAACTGTTTTATTTCATCGTTAATATTATTTCGAATCTCCATTGGTTCGAAAAACGGCATCAGAATGCCGTTTTTTGGGGTTTGGAGAAAATTAGTGAGTAAAAATAGGCGGTCAGATCTGTGCAGCGGGAAATTTTAAATGTTAAAAACTAGTTAAAAATAAAAGAAGATAAAACAGGAATCGAAGTTGGTCCCAGTTCCGCAGCACGGACATTTAGAAACCGGATCAGAGTTTGCACCCAGAGGACGCCGCCCGGTGCAAGAAGACGCCACCGAGCGGAAAGAAAGACGCTCCCGCTGAGATCTGGACTTTATTTTTATTTTTGGGGATTTTTGGTGATGCTAGTTTTTTTTCTTATCTTTTTGCGGAGAGTTTATCGTTTGCATTTTTCATTCTGGAACGGGACTTTGGACTTAAACACTTCCAGGACTCTGTTGTTAATTCGGAAAATATGGAACTCCTTTGTGGACATTATTAAAAATAAAAAGAGGCAGTTTTGGACTTTCAGTTATTAGTTGTTTTTTTCTGATTTGAATTGGGTGTTTTGAGTCTAATTAAATATGTTATGAAGGATTTTGGGTTATTGATTTGTTTATACTGAATTACTATTGAATGAACTATTGATATTAAGCCTGGGTAAAAAAATTGATTTTGAATCGTTTTTTTACATTTTTGCAAAATCAATGTCTAGGGAATGAGATCGATTAGTTTTATAGTGACGTTCGTGACGTTCACATTCAGATAAGCAGGAAAGATGCACTCAAAATACCTCAAGCCAGACAGCTGCAAATAAAGCCAATAGGTCGACTGAAGACATGTGGGCTGAGCAGCAAACACCCTGTAGTTACAGAAAACGCTGCAAATATTGTTTGTGCAGTGAAGATAATGCAGCTCCTGCATGTCTGCTGTTTCACGTCTGCTCGCTCAGTGAGGCTTTTTCAATTTCACAAACAAGTTTGCACTTTTGAGACAGTTTTGTTCACATCTCCAGTTTAAACTGTCTGATTTACAAGTTTGCACTTTGTGTTTAATATGACAGGAAAAAATAAAAGACGAGTATTTTGAAACACAGTTGAACCACTTTCATTATTGTAAAAACAGATCAAATCGAAATGAATCAATTTAGAACTTTATTAATCAATATCGAAGAGATTCAGGACTTTGGCGAAAATACGCAGCCCTATTTGATACTTTATAGTATTGTGATTCTTTTTATTCTTTATAAATCATTGTTGCTGAAAATCAACTAATTTCTTACTGAGCGGTTGAATATTTTTACTTTTGTATAGGGATGTACGATATTGGGATTTTGGCCGGTATCCGATATGCCGATATTTTAAAACTCATGTAGCCGATAACCGATATCGATACCGATGTTAAAGCTGGACAAAAATAAGTAGTCATTGAAAATAGCAGTTTTGTTATCCATTTCTGACACTTTGGAAAATAATATACTCAAATATATTTTCATATGCTGATATCAAATAGATTTTTAAAAACGCGGTATCGATCTATTTTACTTTCAAAATCTGGTGAAATTTCATCGTTCTGTTACAAACTCTCGTGATATTTTGCAAATTCTTGTGAGATTTTGTTAGTAAAATAGATCGATACCGCGTCAATATATCAACATATAAAAATATGGCAACATTTGGTGAATTTTCGGGGGATTTCGTAGCATAACGATGACATATAGACATATTTCATTAGTAAAAGAGATTGATATGGTGTTTTTAAATGGCAATATATCAGCATATGAAGATATTGGGATATTTTAATGGATCAATATTTTTTCCCTCGTCTTTAGAAGTTTTTAAGTCTGTAAAAAAGAAGTTTTTGAGGAAGAAATAGAAGTAGTATTTTTTTTTAGACTTTAGAAACTCAGAAGCTGATCAAATATCAGGTTAAATATCGGTGGGGTGGCCGATGTCCGATATTCAGTTTTAAGGCCGATACCGATAGGGGGCCGATTATATCGTGCATCCCTAGTTTTGTATAAAATTAATGATGTAACACATTTTCCCTAGTTCCTGTGACTGAATCCACCTTCAGTATATTATCAGTTCTGTTTTTAATTTTCCATTCTGATCATTATTAGTAGTTATTGATGGACGCTCCTTCCTGCAGGTGGACGTGTTGATGCCGAACGTCGGGGAGATCGTCGGCGGCTCCATGCGTATCTGGGACTCTGATGAGCTGCTGGAGGGATACCAGAGGGAGGGAATCGACCCGACTCCGTACTACTGGTACACGGATCAGGTAACTGGAAGCTCAGCTGCTTCTGTGACGTCAGTTCGCTGTTTTCCTTCCCGTAAAAACCGTTTTTGTTTTTGTTTGCTGCGTGTCTCAGAGGAAGTACGGGACGTGTCCCCACGGAGGCTACGGCCTGGGCCTGGAGCGCTTCCTCACCTGGCTGCTGAACAGACACCACATCCGGGACGTGTGCCTGTACCCCCGCTTCATCCAGCGCTGCCGGCCCTGAAGGCAGCAGCGCCCCCTAGCGCCAGTACCTGTTGCCGCATGTTGAATCAGCAGAATTCCTCGTTTTCATCTCTTTCCACGTCGCCGTGAAACTCTGAGGACGTCAGAATGAAGTCCGAAGATGCTCCTCCACTCTGCAGACGCTCACAGCGTTCCCAGACTCTCCTGTTGAGGTTTAAAGGATTATTACTGCGGCTTTGAATAAACCAACATCTAAAAGTTATTTAGTAGAAGGAAAGGGTTTAATCTGCTAAAAGAACGAAAGCTTCAGATGTTGATGGTAGAAGAAGCAGATCTTTGATCGTCTGTCCGAAAGTTTCCCTCCAGCTCAACAATCTCCTGCTTCTTGGTCCTTTTTCTGATGGAAACCCGTCCAGAACCGCGAGTTCTGCTCTGCCAGAGTCTGTATCCATTCTGCATCTTCTGACATCCTGCTGCTCAAACTGCACTGAAATAAATGTGATTCAACCTGCAGGCTGTCGGGCTTCCTTCTGTCACAAAGCTCCGCCTCTTTAGGTCACTTTAGTTCACTTTCTGTGGAAAAAGGCTGAAACTTTGATTTTCTGTTTCTCAAAACTTTAGAAAAATATCTACATCAAATGAAGAGGAGAGCAAATAATAACAAAGTTTGTCCTTTAAATTTAGCTTTGGTTATCGGTTCTGGTTCTGCTGGACCAGTTCTGTTATTTCTCACTCCTTCCTATAAAAACTGGTTTACTTTGAGGTTTAACTTATCGGCTAAGTTAAAGTCAGGACTAATGCTAAACTTCTAAATGAGCAAAATGGGATCATTCATAGTTCAAAGAGTGAAATTTACAGATAAAATAAAGTTCAGCCTTTGTCAAAATTAGAGAAGCATCGATGATGGGATGCCATCGGGGATCCTAGATCTGCATCAGATCTAGGATCAGATAAGGATGAAAAGGAGTCATAATAGCGGTACATTTGAACGTAGCTGATTTCTGGTCCGCTACCAACAGCGCTGTGAAAAGTTCACACTTTTGTTACTAAAGTTAGAAGCATAGATGCTGCAGTTTAAAAACCCTCTGGTAAAAGTTGAAGTATCAACTTGACCTCTTTACTCAAGTAAAAGTGAAAAAGTATGCGCTCCAAAAACTACTTAAAGTATAAAAGTATAAAGTAACCTTTAAAAAAATCAGCCAGATGCCGCTATATGAATGAAAGCTCAATTTTTGGACTATTTCTATAATTCTCTGAGATAGAGCCAAGGATGAGGGAGGTCTTGTTGGTCTCCGTCTCCCGATACGCTCTCGCCTGTGTCCGACCTTTCAGACGTTTCAACATCTTTTTCTGAATCCCACATTGTAGCATGGCATAGACAATTCACGTTAGCAGTTTGAAGAACACCTGCTTGCTTCTGATGATTTCCTTTAGCTAACCAATGAGTGTTTGCCTTCTATGACTCATCCAATCACACCAGTTTTCACTAGATGTGGGCGGAGCCAATGATCTGCATTGGATGGAGCACATGACGGGAAATAAATATTAGAAACATTAAACCGAACCAAGAGTACGGAAGAGGATTAAGGCCACTGTAAAAAAAAAAGTTAACTGATTTTTAAATTTTATTTCAGTTTAACATGGGAAAAATTTCAGAATTCTGACTTTTTTCTCAGAATTCTGACTTTTTTATTGTCAGAATTCAGTTAGAAATCTGAGATTAAAGTCAGAATTCTGACTTTTTCCCCATACTATACTGAAATTAAAAAAAATCAGTTAACTTTTTCTTTTTCAGTGGCCCTAATCCTCTTCCGTACAAGAGTAACGTTTGATTTAAAAAAGTAAGGAATAGAAAGTACAGATACTTGTGTAAAAATGTAATGAGTAGAAGTCAGAAGTAGGAAGAAAAATTAGTAATTGAGTAAAGTATAGATACCTTAAATCTGTACTTAAGTACATCATTTTGCGTTTTATGGGTTGCATATCCCAGCACCTGGTAATGTAGAGTTAATCCTGCTGAAAAACTACAGATTTTGGATGTAGAACAGATCAACCGAGCTTCTGTTCTGAGTGAAGCATCTTGTAAAATGCATCCAGTTGCATATTTTGCCTTTAAATGCTTCAAAGCATCATTTAACCCATTAAAGCAATTAGCCCTCTCTGGGTACAAACTTAACTTCAATAAAAGTGAATGCTATCCTGTTAATTACTTGGCCCTTCAAATACAGGATGGTGCCCTGCCGTTCCATCTGTCTAAAAACGGCTTTAAATACCTGGGCATTAATTTTACAAGAGATCTGCAGAATCTTTACCAAGAAAACTTCTATCAGTTATTCGAGAAAATTAAATTAGATTTAAAGAAATGGAAATTACTTCATCTATCTCTGGCAGGAAAAGTTAATTGTATCAAAATGAACGTGCTTCCCAGATTTCTTTACCTATTTCAATGTATCCCACTTTATCTTCCTAAATCTTTTTTTAAATCTATTGATAAGGCTCTGATTTCATTCATATGGAACGGGAAGAAGCCTAGAATACGGTTAGAACTGTTACAGAGGCCTAAAAACCAAGGTGGCTTAGCCCTTCCAAACTTATGTCACTACTATTGGGCCTCAAATGTTCAAAAAATTATGTACTGGCTCCACACTCCTGATGCAGACTGGTGCCACTTTGAAGCTGTATCTTGCATCTCTACTTCTCTTAGAGCCCTGATCACTTCCAACCTTCCCCTCCCCTACTCACAATATACTAACAATCCTATAGTCATAAACACTCTCAAAATATGGTCTCAGCTCAGACAGAACTTTGGGTTTAATAACCTTCTCCATCTGGGTCCTATACACAATAATCACCTTTTCCTCCCAGCTAAGGTAGACTCTGAGTTTACTTTCTGGCAGAAACATGGCATTCTTAATTTTGAGGACTTGTACATAAATGATAGCTTTGGAACCTTTGAAGATGTGTCACATAAATTTGGCCTCCCTCGGTCTAGCTTATTTAGATATTTCCAAATCCGCCACTTTCTTCAACATCACGACCCCAGTTTTCCATACATATTACCTTCTGGTCTAGATGATCTATTAAAATCTCAGTTTAATTCCAAAAGACTGGTCTCCAGAATCTATGATAGTATACTCTCTTTTAAAAACATAACACTAGAAAAGACCAGAGCAGACTGGGTGGAAGAGCTGGGGGAGGACTTGGAAAAGGACACTTGGGAAAACGCGTTATTAAGAGTAAACAACAGCACTTTCTGTGTTAAGCTTAATATTATACAATTTAAGGTCCTACATCATATTCACTATTCCAAATCAAGACTAGCTAAAATATATCCTAACATAGATGCAAGATGTGACAGGTGTCGAAACACTCCAGCTGACTTGACGCATATGTTTGGTCATGCCCAGCCCTGGCAACCTACTGGTCAACCATCTTTAAAACACTATCAGAAGGATTGAATATTAACCTTCAACCCAACGTCGCTATGGCCATATTTGGTGCCACAGATGGAAGATATATGACATTAAGGGAAGGCCATAGAAACATAATTGCTTTTACAACGCTGCTCGCACGGAGAAGAATCTTACTGCATTGGAAATCTAAAAATCCACCCAAGGTGTCTTTGTGGTTTAGTGACCTGACACACTTCATGCAATTAGAGAAAATGAAATATACTCTAAGGGGATCTAAGGACAAATTTTTCTCTGTCTGGGGTCCGTTACTGACACATATATGTAAACTTAAAACTGTGCCCACTTAAATACCCTCTGCCAGTCCTTCTGAGTTTGTATATGTGATTTGCATTCAACCCATGTGTACCATTCCCGGTGAGGTGCACAGTCTTGGTGCTGGAGAACTGAGATAAATGTTCGTTATGTATACTGGCGTGCGTGCATATCTGGACCAGAGCAGAAAAAAAATGTATGTAAAAATGATTATTATAATTATTTATTTATTTTTTATTTATCCATATATTTCATTACTCTCATTTATTATTACGATAATTTATTTATTTATTTATTTATTTAATTTTACTATTATTATTATTTTTTATTTTTTTATTTATTTATTTTTTTTCTTTAATCAATATTCTATATATATATATATATATATATATATATATATATATATATATATATATATATATATATATATTTGTATAAGTACGGGTATATGTAAGTGTGCATGTATACATGTGTATATATGTATATGTCCCCTATTTATTTATTTATCTAATTTTATTTATTTATTTATTTTTTTTTTTATTTTTTTTATTTATTTTTTTTTTAGCTATTGTCTATTTTTTGTATTACTTTTAACTATCTACTCCTGCTAGATTGGTGTCCAAACGGTTGTCGGGATGGGGGGGGTTAAAATATAAATATGAGTATCATGCCTCTTGTATGGAAATTATAGATTGTACCACTGATGCTCAATAAAAAAAAAAAAAAAAAAAAAAAAAGCAATTAGCCCCCTGCTAGCATGCTAGCAGTAACAACATGGTAGCATTTGGCTTTCTGACATTCTGATTATGCTTAAAGAATATTCTTGTTTGGTGTGAAACTACCATAATTGATGCTACAACGCTGGAAGTGAGAAGTCTGTGTCGGTGTTTCCAGAGTGAGACATTTCAGTTGGTTTTCGGCAGAGATGGGAAGTAACGAATTACAAATACTTCGTTACTGTACTCAAGTAGATTTTTCTGATATTTTTACTTTACTTTACTACTTATTTATATGGCGACTTTTTACTTCTACTCCTTACATTTTTACACAAATATCTGTACTTTCTACTCCTTACATTTTAAAAAATTGGCTCATTACTTTAGTTTTGAATCATTTCAATGGAGTTACCGTTATTATTTTTCACGTCATCAATACCAAATTCAATCTAATTGGATGGGAATCTACGTTGCATTTGACGCACCGCTACAAGATGAATCGACAGATTCTGCGGTATTCATTGGCGGCAAATCATTGCAGCTTGGTGGCGGCAGGCGCGCTGGAAGCTGTTTCAAGCGAGGGGGGCTGATGGCTGGGTTGGAAAACACGTGACATCATTATGTTGAGGGCTGTGGCTGACGTTTTTAACATAATATTGTAGGCCTACATTTGTCGCCAAAAACTGCCATTTAAAATGCATCGGAACAAAGCATGAACATTTTAAACTTTATTTCTTCTCTTTTAATCATTCGAAACAAACAACAGCTCCCAATCAACAGGATCAGGAATACTTGAATAAAACATGGCCTAAATATAGCCTAAACTGAGCATTGAACGTCTTGAAAGTCCATTCGACTTTGGATATGGGGAATGATTTCATATCTGAAACAAAAAACACACACACAAAAAAAATTAACTAATTTCATATTTTATCACTAAATAGCTTAATACAGACATAATATTTATGCAGCCTTATTCTAGCATATAGGGGAATTAAAACCATTTCTCTCCTCGAAATAGTCAGAAATACGTTTCTGCTGCCTATTGCTAGCCATGCCTAAACGAATGTGA